CAGATACCTATGGTAACCTGAGGATCGGCTCTCATATTACACAGGTATTTATATACATTTATATATCTTTATCTACATAAAAGGATTTGTATTTGTTCGTTTATCGAAAGGTTATACAGACTGAAGCTTGTGGCTATATCTCACCAAATTTTTCAGAGTGATTGGTCGGGATGACAGGACTATCATAGGTAAGTCAGGCTCAGCAACACTGCTCCTCCACGTAAGGGGGCCCGCCTCTGATAGTGACAAGATGGAATTGCAGTCGCCAAGTCCATAGAGTTTCATTGCCTGTTCATAATATTTATAAATCAGATAGTGGTAGTAGATTTGCATTTTGAGGGTTTCAAACACTTAAATGGTGTCAGACCCTTTGTGCCTTGATGAGATTAGCACTGTTGAGGGGGTTGCATCCTGGGATGGGTCAGTAGGCGACCTTGTAAAGCCTCGATACATGCCTAAAGTATATACATACACAGGCTTCTTGTCCCCGACAAAACAAAGGAAGTACTTATATACCAAAATCTACAATGGGGTATTTGCATTCTGGCCTTCAAGTGGTACATTCTGACTCAGCCAGAGGCGGGACCAAAGAGCCGAAGCTCAACCCCCCCACAAGCACAACTGTGTGAGTACATAGTGTTCATGTGGACTATAAGCCTGGACTCTGGGAGACAAACCCGCTCTGTCGATTTAACACTGCGTCAAAAATGCGACAGTTTTGCCTAACCAAAGACGTACGATCCCAAGCAACCCACCTAACCTATCAAGACCAATGTGGAGAATATTATTACAATGTCAATATTACGGTGCGTTCGTATGTACTAATACCTCACATTTTACCGCAATTATTAAATGCGTATAAAATGCGAGTATTAGATGTGAGGACGCGTTGTACGAGCAATTCTCAATTCGAAAAGGATTGAACCTTGCACGTACTAACTTGATGTTGCAAGGAGCGACAGATGAATGTCGCTGGTGCTGGGATTATATGACTAGGGGTGAGTATCTGTCCTAGGGGCTAGCTAGGACACGAGACATGATTTGAGGGACACTAGCTAGAATGTCCCAGCTCCCAGCACTGTTAATATAGGCCTAAAACCAAATCTAAACTTTTTTGTGTGTGTGTGTGCGCGTATGCGCGCGCGCACACACACACACACACACACACACACACACACACACACACACACACACACACACACACACACACACACACACACACACACACACACACACACACACACACTCACACTCTCTCCCAGAGTTGAGAACATTTACAAGCAAAACTGTAGTTTAAAGCCACACACGCAAGTTATTTACGCGGCAAGGAAGTCCATCAAGATCTTCGAGGACGATGGTGGAGGTTGTACTGAGCTCCTCGGGGCGTGACGCTGTGCAGATGCCTCTATCGCTAAGTCAGCATCACTCCAAACACGAGCACTGACCTCTTTTAGTGAAGTTCAGTCCTCATCAATAAACCCTTGCAACGCCAAACGCTCTTCCCAGATCATCCTATCTCCTTCTAGGGTTTCTTAACTCCTAGTTTTTCTTAGCACCTATCTCTTGCTAGCTCATCTTAGCTCCTCCTAGTTCACCATAATTCACCGTATGTGTGAAGGGATCACCTTCTATATCCCCCTTCCTTCTCTCTTCCACACCCTCTCTCTTCCACACCCTCTCCCTTCCACACTCCTCACCAGTGTCACCAGTGTTGACCACTACCACAATCCCTACCACCACCACCACCACCATCACCACCACCACCACCACCACCACCCCCACCACCACCACCACCACCACCACCACTACTACCACCTACCACCACCACCACCACCACCACCACCACTACCACCACTACCACCACCACCACCACCACCACTACCACCACCACCACCACCACCACCACCACACCACCACTACCACCACTACCACCACTACCACCACCACCACCACCACCACCACCACCACCACCACCACCACTACCACCACTACCACCACCACCACCACCACTACCACCACCACCCACTACCACCACTACCACCACCACCACCACCACCACCACCACCACCACCACCACCACCACCACCACCACTACCACCACACCCACCACCACCACCACCACCACCACCACCACTACCACCACCACCACCACCACCACCACCACACTACCACTACCACCACCACCACCACCACCACCACCACCACCACTACCACCACCACCACCACCACCAGGGCCACATTACACATGAATGGGGGTGTGCAAGACTTTGGTTCTTAAGCTATTGTGCACCACTCAGAGGCCTTAGTGGGTCGTCTTCCAGTGTGTGTACTCACCTAGTTGTGCTTGCGGGGGTTAATAAACTTTTTTCCATACACTCACATGAAACATTTTTTCCCTCCATACACTCCCCCCCCCCTCACCCCAGGAAGCAGCCCGTAACAGCTGTCTAACTCCAAGGTACCTATTTACTGCGAGGTAACACGGGCATCAGGGTAAAAAAACTCTGCCCATTTGTTTCCGCCTCCACCGGGGATCGAACCCGGAACCTCAGGACTACGAATCCGAAATGCTGTCTACTCAGCTGTTAGGCCCCCTAGTAAATGGGGGCCATTTAGTGAGTAAATGGAGTGAACTAAAGGAGCGGGTTGTAGAGGCTAACTCCTTTCATAACTTTAAAAGCAGGTATGATAGGGAAATAGGTCAGGAGTCATTGTATTAGACAACCAACGGCTAGAAAAGCTGGGTCCAAGAGCTAGAGCTCGATCCTGCAGGCACAAATAGGTGAGTACACACACAATGGAAGCCGGTGGCCGAGCGGACAGCACGCTGGACACGTGATCCGTGGTCCCGGGTTCCATCCGGGCGCCGGCGAGAAATGATGGACAGAGTTTCTTTCACCCTATGCCCCTGTTAACTAGCAGTAAATAGGTACCTGGGAGTTAGTCAGCTGTCACGGGCTGCTTCCTGTGTGTGTGTGTGTTTGGGTGTGGTGTGGGGAAAAAAATAGTAGTAGTAGTAGTAGAAACAGTTGACTGACAGGTCAGGCGGGCCGAAAGAGCAGAGCTCAACCCCCGCAAGCACAACTAGGTGAATATAACTAGGTGAATACACACGTTAGGTTTGTCGAGTTACAACGAAATCCTGAGAGTACTAAACTTTACGTCATCAGAAAAGACGAAATATCTAGACAAATACCTTGGCGATGGCGTGGGGGATAACAGACAGACTAATCCCTGGGGTAGGTGGCGAGAATGGTGGGGGGGGGGGGTTATGGACGGAGAGGTTCTGGGTAATCGTGGGCGGCGCGGCGTATGGATTTTTTGGTATAATTTATTTTATACCACAGATGTGTCTGTTTGTTTATACAATGGTAACCTGCCGTCATGCACTTGTGGGTTGATTGGGAGGAGGAGGAGCAGCACCAGCAGCAGCAGTTGTAACAAGAGCAGCAGTAACAACAGCAACAACAGCAGCAGGAGTAAGAGCAGCAGCAACAACAGCAGCAGGAGTAAGAGCAGCAGCAACAACAGCAGGAGTAAGAGCAGCAACAACAGCAGCAGGAGTAAGAGCAGCAACAACAGCAGCAGGAGTAAGAGCAGCAGCAACAACAGCAGGAGTAAGAGCAGCAACAACAGCAGCAGGAGTAAGAGCAGCAGCAACAACAGCAGGAGTAAGAGCAGCAGCAACAGCAGCAGGAGTAAGAGCAGCAACAACAGCAGCAGGAGTAAGAGCAGCAACAACAGCAGCAGTAGTAAGAGCAGCAACAACAGCAGCAGGAGTAAGAGCAGCAACAACAGCAGCAGGAGTAAGAGCAGCAGCAACAGCAGCAACAACAGCAGCAGGAGTAAGAGCAGCAGCAACAGCAGCAGGAGTAAGAGCAGCAACAACAGCAGCAGGAGTAAGAGCAGCAGCAACAGCAGCAGGAGTAAGAGCAGCAGCAACAGCAGCAGGAGTAAGAGCAGCAAAAACAGCAGCAGGAATAAGAGCAGCTACAACAGCAGCAGCAACAACAGCAGCAAAAACAGCAGCAGGATTAAGAGCAGCAACAACAGCAGCAGGAGTAAGAGCAGCAACAACAGCAGCAGGAATAAGAGCAGCAACAACAGCAGCAGGAGTAAGAGCAGCAACAACAGCAGCAGCAACAACAGTAGCAATAACAGCAGCAGCAGGAGCAGCAGCAGCAGCACCTGGAGTAACAAAGGAGGCATGCCAGTAGAAGGACGGATACGCCCCCGGCAGGACTTCAGGTGGATGGCCTCTACACAATATCCAACACACGCTAATTCACATTATTTTACACCCAATAGGTGTTAACTGATGCCTAGCTCTCAGATACTGGCAGGCGCTGCCAGCCATTATATACGCTGTCAACCATTAGTTGAATAATTAATATATGTATTAATGATATGTTTTCCATTCAGACTTCTTGAAAGCTTTGAACAATCCAGGGGCCCACATGTTTATAAACACCTGGATTATATAAATTATGTACACATTATAGCTGTTTTGAATGACATTTCCGCTGTAATAAATGAAGAGCTATCATTTATACTAGTTACCAATTATGTAGTAGGATTTTTGTTTTTAAATTTCGAGACAATTGTCTTGAGCCGTTGACACCAGTTTGCTGATTTCAAATTCCTCAACGATCATATTTTTTTTTAGTATGAATAACTTGGAAAACAAGAATTATCTTGGGATGTATAATAAAAATAGCTGATATAAACGGTTGTATAGTTTCTAACAGTCGTGTGTATGGACTAGTAAATATGCTATAATAGACAATTTTAGGGAGGAGTTGCTGATTTAACATCCTTCGATGATCTTTAATTCCTAGCATTAGGGGGTTGAACAATCCAATTTAATGTAATGTTTTATTAAACAAAAAATAGATTTTTGTTATATGGTTATATAGTTTTAAAACCAGTATGGGAGTAGTAGAATAGGGGATATAATGGGGTGTTTGGGGAGGGCGTGTGGCGGGAAGAAGAGCAGGAGTAGGGGTGAGGTCCACCCGGCCAACAGCCCACAGTTCTCAACGAGCAGTGCCCGTGGGAGGTCTTGTACCGTCGTGTCTGGTCTGTGCTCAATTAATATCTCGCTTGGTGTGGAAATATATACAGTGGGTGTGTGTGTGTGCGTACGTGGTGCGGCTCTAGGGCGGAAAGGAACTCTTGAGGGGTCGAGTGTGAGGCGGAGAGCGATATAAGAGGTGAGTTATGTGTGAGTGTGTGTGTGCCGGTGGCGGCTTGGTTCAAGCCGCCGCTTGTCTTCTTTTTCCCCGCCACGTGAGAAACATCTGTCAATTGCGCGCCATTTTGCTGTTTTGCGCGCCAAAATGGTGTATTACTCGTATTTACCGCCGAATTAGGCTTCCAGGAGTATAAAATGTGTGGTTTTCCTATATATTAAGGTGTGAGAAGCCGGTCAAAAGTCAGTCTAGAAGTCAAATCTTTGTTTCATAGCGGACAAAAGCTTTTTAAGCCCAAATAGTCTTTTCTTGGTTTAAAATACTTGTATAAACCTTTAGGTCGGCTTGCTCTTACTATAAGCCACATCTAGCTAGTTTTGTGTATGCCAAGCATACACAAATAAAAAATATCATACAGGATATATGGTGTAAATCTATTTTCCTTGCTATCAATTGTGGTCTTAATATCCAGTTCGTAAGGCACTAACAACCTTGGTTGTTTATTTATCATTGTTCTTCTGGCAGCCGTAGGCCTATTTGTGGTTAAAGGGTCTATGGTGTGGTGGGTCAGAGCGGGTCTTGGTCTGGAAAGGGGGGGGGGGGGTTAATTTCCAATTCCTGGTTGGTTTGGAGCAGCGGTGAGGTCTGCCCTGGTGTAAAGGAAAAGGGGGGGGGGGGGGGGTCATATTAATTAATGGGGGATCTATCTGGCTCTTGGTTTAGGGTGAAGGGGGGTTGGTCTAGCTCTTGGTTTAGGGTGAAGGGGGGTTGGTCTAGCTCTTGGTTTAGGGTGAAGGGGGGTTGGTCTAGCTCTTGGTTTAGGGTGAAGGGGGGTTGGTCTGGCTCTTGGTTTAGGGTGAAGGGGTGGTTTGGCTCTTGGTTTATGGTGAAGGGGGTGGTCTGGCTCTTGGTTTAGGGTGAAGGGGGTGGTCTGGCTCTTGGTTTAGGGTGGAGGGGGTGGTCTGGCTCTTGGTTTAGGGTGGAGGGGGTGGTCTGGCTCTTGGTTTAGGGTGGAGGTGGTGGTCTGGCTCTTGGTTTAGGGTGAAAGGGGGGTCTGGCTCTTGGTTTAGGGTGAAGGGGGTGGTCTGGCTCTTGGTTTAGGGTGAAGGGGGTGGTCTGGCTCTTGGTTTAGGGTGAAGGGGGTGGTCTGGCTCTTGGTTTAGGGTGAAGGGGGTGGTCTGGCTCTTGGTTTAGGGTGAAGGGGGTGGTCTGGCTCTTGGTTTAGGGTGAAGGGGGTGGTCTGGCTCTTGGTTTAGGGTGAAGGGGTGGTCTGGCTCTTGGTTTAGGGTGAAGAGGGTGGTCTGGCTCTTGGTTTAGGGTGAAGGGGGTGGTCTGGCTCTTGGTTTAGGGTGAAGGGGGTGGTCTGGCTCTTGGTTTAGGGTGAAGGGGGTGGTCTGGCTCTTGGTTTAGGGTGAAGGGGGTGGTCTGGCTCTTGGTTTAGGGTGAAGGGGGTGGTCTGGCTCTTGGTTTAGGGTGAAGGGGGTGGTCTAGCTCTTGGTTTAGGGTGAAGGGGGTGGTCTGGCTCTTGGTTTAGGGTGAAGGGGGTGGTCTGGCTCTTGGTTTAGGGAGAAAGGGGGGTCTGGCTCTTGGTTTAGGGTGAAGGGGTGGTCTGGCTCTTGGTTTAGGTTGAAGGGGGTCTAGCTCTTGGTTTAGGTGAAAGGGGGGTCAGTCATATTCTCCTGGTCTGGGAATAGGGGGGGGGCAAGGTCGACCATACCCCTAGTCTTCGGGGAGGGTGTTGGGAAGGGGGGGTCAGGCCCCACCCCTGGTGTGGGGGGATGGGAAGGGTGGGCTCGGCCACACCCGTGGTCAAAGGGGGGTGGGGGGGTCTGAAGGGTGAGCTCGGCCACACCATGGACTAGGGTTTATCTCTCTTGGATGTCTGGGGTCCCACTTTTTTGTCTGGGGAGGGGGGAGTGTGGGGTGGGGTCGGTCGCTCTTGGTGGGGGTGGAAGGTTGGGACGTGGTCTATCACTCTTGGTCGGTTGTGGGGTCTGGTTGACGGAGTAATCCATAAACCAAGTACAGTAGTACATTTGTGTTCACTCATTTTGTGTACCCCGTCCGCATGACTGGTCAGTAGCGGCCATTTTGAGGGTGTGATCCTCTTGTACTAGGTGCACCCTTGACGCTGACTCCAGTCAGTCCCACTCAATTTAGTGGTTATAGAAGCTGTTGACCTTGGTTACTCGACTTGGGTAGAATACCATCTTGTCTTCAACTTTGCTCCCGTGACCTTGAAGACTTTGCAGTCTCATCCGTTGTTCAAGTCTGAAGCTGGTATTCACCTAGTTGTGCTTGCGGGGGTTGAGCTCTGCTCTTTCGCCCCGCCTCTCAACGGTTACTATTTGTTTTCCCCACATCACACATTTTTGTGTATTACAGTATTTAACCAGCATAGTATTTAACGCCCAAGGCTTGAGTGCTTTGGCTGAAATGTAAGTTTAATCCAAATAGTACACAAGACTTCAATAACACATTTTAAACGTGAAAATTTGATGTTAATTGAACACTAACAATCTTGGCCGCGCTTTAAAAGTTGTCATGAAACGACTTGAGTTAGTAAGGTGTGGGAGGAAGTGCGTGGTGTTTCCTGCCATGCTAGTCCCCCCTCTTCGTCAGTCTTCGGCATGGCGGGAGTCTTGCCACAAGATGGAGGCAGAGACTGGTTGTCACAGATATGGCGTAAGTGTGTGTACAGGTAACGCCCAGTTCTCTGGATACATGTGACAGGCTGAACAGCCCAGAGGGCGCTCTTTCTGTCATTGTATTTGGCGTGATGCAGAAGCTGCTATGGCGGTATGTTCACTGGAGTGAATGACATAACATAAGAACAAAGGTAACTGCAGAAGGCCTATTTTCCCCATACGAGGCAGCTCCTATTTACAACCACCCAATCCCACTCATATACATGTCCATCCCACGCTTGAAACAATCGAGGGACCACACCTCCACTACGTGACGCGGTAATTGGTTCCACAAATCAACACTCCTTGATTTGTCCCAGCGGGCGTTCTAACTATTCATTGCAATGTTATGCTTGCTGCTTCAGGGAAGAAAAATAAAACTAGCAGCTGAGTGGACAGCGCTAGGGATTTGTAGTCCTAAGGTTCCGGGTTCGATCCGCGTTGGAGGCGGAAACAAATGGGGAGTTTTCACCCAGATGCCCTTGTTCACCTAGCAGTAAATAGGTACCCGGAAGTTACAGCTGCTACGGGCTGCTTCCTGGGTGTGTGTAAGAGGCAGAGGACCGGGTCGCAGGGGACGCTAAGCCCCGAAATCATCTCAAGATAACCAAGATAGCTTGGTTGGTTTGTGTTGCATGTTCTCCCCCTACCTCCTCATAACCTTACATTGTGAGGTAGCCCCACAGTCAGAGGCGTGACTCGTAGCCTAAAGACCTTAAGCTGACATACACGTTTGTAAACTTGTAAACTCCGCTTGCAGACTACATGGCAAATAGTCCCGTGTATCAATCGGTTGTCAGATGTATCTAAATGGCCTAATGAACACGTGTAGTCTTCATTAGGATCTTGCACATTCACTAGTGCAAGATCCATTTAGATCTTGCACTAGTGAAAACTGAAAATTTATTTAAAGATTTTTTTTTAAGAAAGGCGGCGTTGGCAGAGCTGTGGGCGTCGTTAGTGGCGTGACCTTGATAGTCGTCCCGGGAAAGTTGTTGCTTAGGGTGGGTTGGTGGCTCCCGTTATCCTGGGGCTGTGTTCCTTCACCTAGTTGTGCTTGCGGGGGCTGAGCTTCGTATCTTTGATCCCACCACTCGCATGTCAATCAACTGATGTAGATTCCCACGAGTATTGGGCTCTTGATCATATCTACCTTTGAAACGTGTCTACATTTGTGTGCCCGTGTTCGGTCGCTCGCGTCCTTCGTGAACCACATCTGCCCTAAGGTAGACACGTGCCCATCAGCGAGTTGGTGTTAAATGGAGATGCAGCAGTGTACTTGGAGGCCCGGACAGCCTCCCCCGACCAGCTGCTGGGGAGGGTCGGACGGACGGCCGGCATTTCCTGCCAGGAATGTCGAGCACAGTAAGGCGTGGAGGAGTCTTGTTTAGCTTCTTGGTTCGTGAAAATGTCCGGGTTTAGTCATGTTGTACAAGAGACCGGCTGTCAAGGCTGAGTTAAAATGATCATGTATATCGTTAGGACGAGATGTTTTAGCTTGGCCCGTGCTGGGAAAGCTTAGGTGGGTAACAATTGAATAGTCCTAATCTAATTATGCCCTAATGAAGACCATGAGCCGAGGCCTCGCAAGCTTTTTGAAGTATAATATTAGGTTTTCGTGTGATTCACCTTCAATGTGTTCATAAATTTTAAACATTGTACATACTCGGAGAGTTCTAGATGTACTTCTCTCCAAGCCAGACTTGTCTTTAGATGGCTTATCTTTATATCTTGTACTTCAAAAGTCCAGCGGTATCTAGCTGTTGCTTAGTGGTCCACAAGCTTCTGATTCATTAAAACGCGGATGGTCCGGCACTTAGTGCTTTTTTATAAAAAAATGTATATATTTTTTTTTCCTCCTTTAGGAACTTGTCTAAACGTTTCTTAAACGTTACCTTGCGCTGATTCAGCGGACCAACGTGCTCCGTGGCCCGGCCACTGGTTTGGTTAACCCTCTAGGCCCGTATGGTGGTTTTCTCTTAAATCGCAAGGTTCAGGATCTACCTTGGGCAATTCTTTGATTACTGGCTTACGGATTACGTTCGCAAGAGCTATCACTCGATTTAGCATGTATATTGCTAGTTACGAAGCCGTCTGTGGTGACCTAAATTAGAGGAAATACTGTAGTTGTGATAGTCTTGCTTACCAGTGTCAACTGTTCACTGTCGTGTAGACCTGTTACCATTAGGGTTATGCTAACTTGATGTGCAATGGTTCCCAGATTACAGTTCCTCAAGAATTTGCAAACGACTTGGGGGGGGGGGGGGTACAACCTTGCCATCTTTATTTTTTTTGTGATTGTCAGGAACTCGTTCGCGGAGTATCCAAGCATTT